ATGGCGGTCTCCATGGTGGAAATCCTGTCTCAGCCTAACTTTCAGTCAGCCTAACGACAGGCTGAGAGCTGGAGCTGAGGCGGGTTTAAAGCCTCCTGACAAACTGTTACACCACGCCCACCTGTCAGTCATGTCAGCTACGCTCCCAACTATACATAACTCTTATCCTTCATAAAATCAGACGGACCGGTTATAAATATTCACCCCCCGTACAGTGTGAGCCAGTAAAGACAATAGCTAATCAGACCTGTTTGTTTTTTTGTACCAGGGTGTAAACATGTTAATTTATTCTGCAAAAACAGGCTTTTTTAAATGGGTGTGTATGTGACTTCCTGTTCTTCTGCAGCCAGCCTCTAGTGGACAGTTGAGGAACTGCAGTTTTTTGTGCTTAATTTTTCATCACTGGAGGCTGCTGCTTGGTAGAGACATCCACCGTCGACACAAACGTCTGTACGTTAGTTTTTGTTAAGTTTAAGCTTAAGCGCTCTGTAGAAGGCAGGGTATGTGCGCTTGCACGTGTTGTTTCATTACAAAGTCACACAAGCAAAAAGTTCCCTACGAAAAACTGGTTCGAAAGTATCGACTGTAAAAAGGCTCAATTCTGTTTTTGCCAAATCAGGAAGTTAAGGACAGAGGTCTTTACTGAAACATGAGCCTCGTTTCCACCAAGCGGTTCACTTTGGTTTGGTAGTGTTTGCATCATTCAGTCAGAAGATGGGAATGGTACCAAAATAACCGATACGTACCGATACAGACCGATCGGACCCAAAAAGGTGAAGATCAGAAAAACGTGCAAAATGGGTCTTTTAACGTGAAGCACAGGCAAGTCACTGTATTCAGATAATATCTATCTGATGGAAATGAAACTGACTGCGTGAAGAAGATCTTGTTTAGAATATTTTTTCTGTCTCTAAATACACATCTGGATATCTCGATGAAAAAAGACAATCAGGAAATGTTTTTGCCAAAAGTAACTGTTTATTTCAGTTTGTCTTCAAACAGCGGAGTGGCCGTCTGTCTCTGTACACGCTGGTTAGTAAAAAAACAAAAAAAACACTGAACTCAGACATCTCACTGCCTCCTCGAACATTCAAGGATATTGCATTTTTAGTTTTTTTTTTTCATTGAGAATACAAAAATCAGTCAATGCAGCAACAAAGTCCATCAACAAGAGTTCATTTTGTTTCCTCTGTAGGACGACACGGGCTCCTTCCTCTGGTCTGGACAGAGTGGTTATCATGAAGACACACAATAAAACACAAATATACTGCTTTGACAAACAATCTCATCAGATTATGAACCCACAGAATGAACACTGATTTGGCAGCGAGGGATATTTAGAGGCATCAGAGACTGAAAGTTGGACACTGGACACTCCCAACCAAGAACGTTTTGTGACACTTCATTTCACAAAATGGTTTTAAAACAACCCGAGTATGCTCAACATACCAGGCTCGTACAAATATGTCTTACATTGATCACCCAAGATTGTGCTAACCAATGTAGTGTATTTGTACTGACACAAAGATTTGAAATCCTCATGCTGGGAAGACACTGCTCCTTAAAAAGTCAGCAGGAAAACCTTTCAAGACTCCACTGCCTCTGAAGTATCCCCGATCATCACCTACAGACCCGCAAACACGAGCGTGTAAACCTTGAAGTGGTTAAGTGAGAAATGTTGACGGGATGAGTGAACTGCACAGCAGAACCTCGCTGACACCAGGAACAGGTTTATGAACGATGAGAACCGCTACAGGCTGGGATCAGAAACTTTCTGCTACATCTGTATTTTAATCAACATAAACATGCATGAAAAAACACAAAGGACAGGACCGAGTTGCTCTGAATGCTAAGAGATACAGAGCTGAGGCTGTAATCTGACCTCTGCTCACACACTGAGGAGTGTTTTATTTTAATTACATGGATGGAACCTGAGCGCTTGAGAAGTATGAGCCGAAAATTAACAGAATTAGCTGGTTAAATAAGCAGGTGAAAAGGATGCCAAAACATCTCCAATATAATGCAGATTTGTACAGTCAAAAATCTGTTCTTTGTCAACATCTGTCTGCAGGATGAAGAGCTTCAATTTTTTTTAAGGTTTTTTGGGTCCTTTTTGCCTTTATTTTAGATAGGACAGCTGAAGAGAAACAGGAAAAGTTGGCAGGAGAGAGCGGGGGATGACATGCAGCAACAAGGCTGAGGTCAGATTCTAACCCACAGCTGCTGCGACGAGGACTACAGCCTCTGTACATGGAGCTAACAACATAACCACTAGGCCATCTGTGCTCAAAATGCAAGTTTTTTATTTAATGTAGTTTGGATCATCAGATCATCTTTTAGAAGCAACCAAAGGAGGGAGATCAGGAGGATCTTCAACACGGCATCACCGACTTTTCTCACTTGAGTTGAAACAATTGAGTCAATTGAACCTGTAACATAAGTTTGCATCAAAGACGTCTGCGTTGTCTTTGTGTGTAAAGCACCGAGTTGCTTTTGGTATGAACGCAGCATGATTGCGAAAGCTTCCTTCTAAGTCATCAGACCATCCAACATGTCCGGCAAAGAGTAAGTCTTACAGCAGATCTATGACGCTGATGCATATTTAAATACATAATGTTACGATGTTGGATGTCTAGACTAAACCACAGCAACTTTTTTTTTAAGATACAGTTGTTGGTGTAATCCTCAGATGTGGTTTTGTACTGCTGTGAACGAGAACTTGACCATTCTTGGCCTGAACCTGACGACGAGCCTAAGCTGTCCAACCCTGTTGAATCGTGGGATGTAATGACACCTGTAGCCTCTTGGTGGTGCTAGTGAGGCTATAATAAACGATAGTGTTTAAATGTTCAAACCCATTAAAATTAATGATGTAATGGGGGTGAGCAAACAGCCATTAAAACCTTCAGTTTAAATGTTTCATAGGTGTTTTTAAATACACTCATCCTAAGTGAGGACAGATTAGAGCTTCAGATTTCAGACTTATTCTTCTATTTTTAAGCTTCGAGAGACTTTTTATCTGTTGAAGTTTAAAGGTCACATATTATCCAAAATCCACTTCACCATGTTTCTCTAACACTAATATGTGTCTCTAGTTGGTCTACAAACCCCCCAATGATGAGAAAAGTCCATCCCTTCATGACATCACAAAGGGCAGTAGCCCCTCCCCCAGGTGGGTGACACTCCCACAGCTAGGTGTTTGTTCTGCGCTCTGAGTCTGCCTTCTCACCGTAAACAATAGGGCATTGTGCAAGAAAGCCCAAGCCACATCCCCTTCCAGAGAGGGGGCGTGGTCAGACACAGCTCATTTACATATTTAAAGGTACAGACACACATAAACAGCCTGTTCTGAGCAGGGCTGAATAGAGGGGTTTATAGACATGATCAAATACAGGATCAGAGTGGATTTAGAACAAGAAACTTCACACACATGTTTTGGGGAGCTCTGAGACTTATTTAAACTGGTTGAAGAGGAGGAGGATTGTGACCTTTAAACCAGGAGCCTGTTTGTATGTGAGCGGAGCGTCCTCAAACCTCCTCGCCTCAAACACATCACACAACTAACATCTACTTCTTCATGCCAAAAATACTGCATAGATAAAAAACATAGAGTGAAAAATCATATCAAACAATATATAATAATACAAAATGAATACTTCCACACAAAGTGGTTTTAAACGTATTAGTTGTGCCGGTGCACGTTGAACACGTGCGTGATTGTAACCACATTTAAAACATTCTCATATTAAAGTGTGCATAAACATAAATACTAACACTGATTCTTTACACAGTAACATAGTGACAGACAACTTCCACCTCCTCTTACAGGGATCTGATCAATGTGAGGAAAAAAGAGTTTTGAGATGTGAAGTTTCTGCAGGAAAACTGATCCTTCATTTTACACAGGTTCTTTTCATTTATCTTTGTTTGTAGTGATTTCTTGTTTCTAAATATCCACCAAGAAACATTTGATAGATAAAAGAAAAGCTGGGAGGGCTTCTATTTATGTCTCTCAGACCTCAATCTGTATGAACAGCTTTAAAAAGATTTAACATTTGAGGCAAAGAACGTGAGAAATGTTAACGTTTAAAGTTTAAAATCCTCTGAAAAAAAAAACAAGATCGGAAGTGAGAGGAACTTTTGTTTGGGGTGTGGTCAAAAAAATTCTGAATTTCTGAAGTATTAATGTTTCAAAAAGTCTTGTGAATGTTGAGTGAAGACTATTTTGTGTACAAAATGTACTGAGGTGTTTAATTTACTAACTCGAATTCTCAGGGCGCACTCACTCTAGGAAATCCGACCATGTCGAAGCACGTTTGACCCTCCTCGATAATGTGAGTGCTCCGATCCGTTCTCAAGCTCGGTACACTTCCTTGGCAAGAGGAGGTAACCGTGCTCAGGCCCGGTTAGTCCTGGAGCAGTGAGAGTGCAGGCCAGCGGCAGAATGGGGAGGGGACAACCGGGCCTAGTGTGAGTGGGCCCTTAAACTGGGGTGTGACCCTTGGGGGGCCCAGAAATATGTTTAGAGAGCTGGCACTGCAAGACTAAATAAAAGCAACGCACGGCGAGCAAAGCATGGCCGATATAGTGAAAGGACTTCCCAGATTAACGTAATGTTGATTGAGAATGAAATGAAATGTTGCAACGGTTAGAAAATATGATTCTGATCCACGGCTTCAACGATGGGTAATAGAGAACGACCTCAGAGTGCGGGTGGGCCTCAGAGTGCGGGGGGCCTCAAAGTGCGAGTTCCTGACAGCATGAAAAGTTAAAAGTTTCAGTTTCAGAAAATCCTGTTAATTTGACTATACTGTGTGTGTGTTGTTAAAAGTTAGGCATTTGGAATTTGCATGCCGCAGTGTTACTTAGTTTCCTCTGTAAAAACAGATGGTTAGTTTTCCCAGCTCGATGTCACTTTAGATCCCATGACAGTTTGATCTTTTACTTTGTGTAAGGTGACGGAAACAGGACATTAAATATTGTTGTGTAGTCAGGGGAATTATCTGCAGTTATTTTCCTGTATTAAATTACATTTTCAGCATTTTTTAATTGGATATTTAAGTGTATTTTTAGAACATTTCACTTCAGCCATTGGAGATGGTGACTGCATGTTTGGTTTTTAAAAAATGTGTGAAGCTAAAAAGTGCTACAACCTGAAAACACATCAATGAGGTTACATTTCTCCTGTTCTTTGCCTCTTAGATCTGCTCTGTGTCGTTGCCCTGTGGTTGGTTGTAAGCGCTCTGGCCTCAGTAGGCACTGATTGGTTGCTGGTTTGTTGCTTACACATTACTGGTTCTGCTCTTGCCCTTGGCTCCGCCCCCTGGGCTGCCTTTACTCTCTGACTTCCTGCCAGGTGAGTTCTGACAGGTGGGCGGTTTCACAGCAGAGCCCGACTGAGCACCACTGTTGTTGTTGTGGTTCGTGTTCCCGCTCAGCGTCTCCATGATGGAGCGAAATGCCCCGAACGACCGCTTACTCTCAGAGCTTCCTGTCGGAGTCCTTTCCTTCCCATGATGCCCTTTGGTCTGCTCTGCCTCCGGATTGGAGCTCTTGTGCACCTGCTCGTCGAAGGTAACTCTCAGTTTAAGGTTCTGAGACGTCTTCCTGCGAGATGAGGGTGACTTCAGGGCGCTCTTGGGGCTCGTGGCAACTTTCTGGCCATTGGTGCGTCGTGGGAGTCGGTTGAAACGTCCGATATTTAGCGTCTGCTGCCTCGGGTCGCTGGAGGTGGGGGACGGGTTGAAACCGATGCTGTCCACTGACTTTGACCCACTGAGAGAAAATGCCAGCTTCCTCTCAGTGGTGGAAGTCGGGGCGGAGGCGGGGAGGTGGTTCTTCATCATTGGGTCAAGGTGGCTTGATGCTGGCTCCTCCTCTGCGATTGGCAGGTGAGATGGCCTATCAGGTCGCAGAGTGCTGGAGCCCGAGGCTCCTTGATTTTTACCCTCCTCTGGTGGATAACCATCTGTGTCGGATTCACTCAGGGAGCGCTGCATGATCTGTTTGAGTCTCGCTAGTTTGAGCTCCCTCCTCTCTCCCAGCACCGTCCTGCGGGCTCCAGGGGCCGCGGGGCCGCAGGGGCCAGGGCCAACCGCTGGAGGCAACCTCTCCCTGGAACACAGCGAGTCCGACATGTCCTTCCCCAGCAGCTGCCGCAGCACTGAGTCTGGTCCTGCCCCTGCCTGTCGAACCAACCATTGACCATCACCAGGAGTCCCTTCTGCTGTCAGCAACATCTCAGGCCACGCCTCCACTGAGGGCTGATGGGAGCTGGAGTCCAGAGGAGGAAACAGAAATTACCTTTTACTTTCATTTTACAATTTAAGTGTGGATGTTCTGGTTTTACCAACAATGACTTCCAAGAAAATCCAACTCACTAGCACTAAGGTTATTTCTGGGAGCCATAGTTGTGCTTCTAGTATATCTCTAGAGGAGTTAGGGGGTCCTACATGTGTGTGTGTTACCTGGGAGATCTGGACGGTGTCCCCTCTGCCTTGTTGGGGTCCATCAGTCTCTGCAGATGTTTCTGCAGAACGATCCTGTCTGCAGCCTGTCTGCATGACAAACAACACACACAACAGGATTAACCCCAGGTGACCCACCTCCACCTGCAGGTATCACCTCAGTCTGAAACCTGTTACATCATAAAAAAATTTAAAAAAAGATTAAAACTACCGTCACTTACTCATTGAGCTGTTTGGTGAGTTTAACAACCTGCGAAGCCAACGACATGCAGGTTTCCACAACGACAAGGTATCGAGCGCAGGTGGTGTGTCCCTGTCGCTCGGCACTCTGGGACGGCCGCTCCCCCTGCTGGTTCTGGACGGTCACGTTAGAGCCGTACTCCACCAGAGTCTGGACACAGAGGCAGAAGCTTTTTAGTAAGATTTACTCAGCTCTGTGAAGAACATGCAGCTTTTTAATCTAAAGCAAATCACAATCAGTGTTTTGATTGTTGGCCTGGCTGGCCAACAGGAAGCAGACAGGACTGATAAGATCCGCCCCTCCTTCAGATGGCTGCGCCACTTAGCATTAAAAACTTCCACTGCAGGAAGAATGAGCTCCAGGTTGTCAAATAAATTTAAACAAGAATTAAAGTGTGAGCAAGAGAACTGAAGCAGGACATTCCTGGTCTGATTACCAGCAGGGAAACTCACAGAACGGTTGGTAGTAATTGTAACTTTTAAGCAGCACACACCTGTATGCAGGTGAGGTGTCCGTACTGAGCCGCTACGTGGACCGCTGTGTTTCCGTTCTGGTCGACTTCGTCCAGAGAGATCGCCTGTTCCTGCATGAACTGAAGCAACCACAGCAACACCTTCTCCTGCAGAGACACACAGAGAGACATGTTTTTATCCACTTCTTATTAAGGGGGGGTGTGATGGGGATCGGAGTGTGTGTGTGTGTGTGTGTGTGTGTGTGTGTTGTGTGTGTGTGTGTGTGTGTGTGTGTGTGTTACCTGTCCATGGCGGGCAGCGTAGTGGATCAGACTGGGATTCTCGGGTGCAGCTCAGCTCTGCGATGGCCTCCGTCTCACTCACCATCCACCTCACACACTCCAGATGACCGTTCTGCAAAAACAAACACAAAGATTATGATGATGAACATTTACTGTTACCTCAATTTAAACCTGAGCATAACCCAGACAACACAAGTAACACATATACACACAGAGAGAAACACACACACACACGCACACATGCACCATGTTGATTAAGCACCAGGTGGCTGGAAGTCTGTCCTG